ATATAAATACATAATTGCAAATAATTAGATGACTACCATTTTAAGTAATATGTTAAAAACAAAAACAATGTGTGAGAGGCCATGAAACACCCTTAAAATAGAGATCACAATTTGGCGTCATCATTCTATATAGGGTCTTGATTGGCTGATTACTCATATAAATACCATGTATTTGTTTATTATTGAACAAAAATATCATGGTTCACAAAACTATATCAGAGTGTTGCAAGATATTTCAAATTAAGAATATCAAAATGGTTTGGAATTACAGATTAAATATTTCTAAAACAAACTTGCCTTGCGAGCTTCTGTGCCACACCATAAGCACTTGACGTCTGTATAATGAAGCTCTATCTATTTACACCTAAAATTAAAAATATACAACTTAATTCTTTGATATGGGACATATGAAATAATTCAACAAATACATAAATCCAAACAGTTGATGGATTCTATGGAACAGTCTGTTACTCAGTAACAAGCGTATTAGAGCTTCGGAAACTTTACAGGAGGCTTGTTTAGTTAAGTCCAAACAATGTTGGTCATGAGATCAATTTCAATAGATCTGGCCGAAGACCAGCTAGTAGAATCTTATGATTATATACAAAGGTGAATGTAAGGACGCATATAAAAATTTGGGTTTGTGTTGTAAGGTTTTCCAAAAAATAATATGTTGCAAAATGTAATATTTACAGTGTGTTTATAATGACTTGTATAGCAACATCATATCCAAGATAGCTATTAAAATATCCTTACCTGGCTTCGTTCCAAGAGTCGCCTTTAGGACATTTGTGCTCCACCATAACCGTATTGACCTCCAAATGTAATGTCCTGTTGAAGCTAAAGACCAGCTCCTTTGTTCTTGGAACCCTAAAAGTCAAGATTCTTATTTTAAAAGTAGCTTTGGGAAGTTATTTGCAAACAGTAATAAATACTTTAGACCAAAGACTAGAGGAATATATCCATTGCCTTATCTGGAAGTTATAAGCAAAAAAATAAATCTTTCTGTTAATTCTATAACATTAAAGCTATCTAAAAGTAACCTGGTAATGAAAATCTTGAAAACTACCTCTTTAATTATGTATATCAAATGTGAATAACATCATTTGGCCAATATCTCTGCTCATGGACAATCAATTTTCAAAGGTCACTCTTGAATTGATTAGTTTTAATCAATGCCAATGGAATTATCATATATGTACCCATTTCAGAGAGAAAGATCCCATGGTAGTTTTTGCTTTTTCATTCCACAGTAGGGGGCTTGTTCTTGAAATGGATTTTAAGAGATCAATCAGATGATTGGAACACCAAAATCATCGTAAGTTA